ATCCATACCCAGATCCACTCAAACACCCTTATGGGACCAGCCAGATTGGATTGGCACTGGAGAGGATAATTGTGTACATTCTGATTCCTAAAGGTTCTTTGAATTCTGCCATGTTTTTGAATGGCTTTGAATGGCTGGATTGTCACAACTCTTTCCTGTAGACAGCTGGGTCTGGCACGCAGTCACTCTCATTGCCTCCATGCACATGAGCACTGAGCTCTTCTCCACCTCATTCCACCAGACCCAAGACCATCTCTTCTCTCAGCCTTCAGAGAACTAAATGGAGAAGGAGTGACTGTTTAAGCCCCAGGAGAAGATAATTTACTGATGATTCACCCCCCAGCACTGGCTTGCTGTCTGAGGAGAGGCAGCACTAGTTGGTGGAAACTGGAGATGCACTAAGGCAGGTCTGCCTCTTTCTGTGACACTTTGCTATGAACTGACTTTCACCTGTTACAAAACCACAGCTGTTATTTCCTGCCTCTCCCAGCAGATTCCTTTCTTCTCTCTGAAGAGAGAAGACTCTGGGACTCTTCCTTACACCTCTTGCACAGGACTCTGTGGTACTCCTGCACTGAGCTAGGAGTCATCCATGATGTGCACCCATTGTATGGAAGGGATAGATCGAAGAACAAATTTTTGGATTCTCTACCTCTCGGGCAGAGGTAATTTGGGGAACAGTTGCACATAAGTCATGCCTGCAACCACCTAGGAATTTTACCAAATCTTGACTTCCACATTCTCCTATCTAGGCCCTTCAGTCATTTCTCCTGGCTTCAGTGTTACGATTTTCAGCATATGCTGTCTTCCAGTGACATCTAGGGATAGAGACTGGAAATCGCAAGCTGGATGCTTATGTAGGCATTGTTTAAAACATATTTCAAACTGATAAAACTTGCTTCTTTGGTAAACCAAAAGGTTTAAGGAACAATTGCAATTAAGATCAGGTGAAAAGAATATTGCATGTTTTGCAGGATTGAATTGATGCCCCAAGGCCCATTCCTAGACTCATGTGCATTAGCATTAATTTCATAAAGTGCCTACAGAGACATGGCACTAATTGCCATAACATTTTGCTCTGGTACAAAGAATACAAGCAAGATAAAAGTACATCAGTACTAACGAAAAAACACATGAAAGGGAAAATGTCATCAGGAGGACAAAAACACCTTGAGGTCAAAAGATCAAATAACTTGCTTTAGTAGCTGGATCCATTATTTACTCATTGCTACCACTACTAAATTACTCATTACATTTATGTATCAGTCCCTTGATCACAGAGAGTCATGGTGATTCACCTACACAGGACTAAGATATGGGCCCTGATCTGGAGATCATACCTGCAGGACAAGGCAGAACCAAAGGATGGAGGCAGTAGAGCAGAGGGAACAGTGTCTCGATCTACACTTTGCATCCTGGCTTCGTGTTAGGCTTCACTTCACAGTGTTCAACAGCTTATCCCTGCAGGATCAAAGCAGAAGCAACAGCAAGTCTTCCCACCGTGCTTTCATTTCTTCATGGAGCACAGGCAGGCTTCCTCCAGAGCATATCCAGGGACAACTAAGCAGGATTAGACAGAAACCCACTATGTGCTTGCATAACATAACACATGAAAGATGCAGAAATGTATAAGCTGACTCTTTCAAAACAGGCTTTGTACAATCTACATCTGCTCTGGGTTTTCCTCATAAATCTAGACTTCCTAAGTATTCACAGCCCAACAACAAAAAGAATTCTGTTGTAATTCATTGATTCAAAGGTCCTCCTTGGACCTTTGCAGGACCTAAAAAAATACATCTCTTTGATGGCAGAAGGAAATGTAGAACATAATATCATAAGAAGACATCAAGAGAAGTGCTTATACATGTATCAGAGGCCTGCATGTCCAAAACCAAAGTATTTAAATATGCTCACATAGACAAAAATGTGTGGAGAGAGGGGACAGAGGCAAGCTATTGGTTTTCCAAGAACATCTGGTCTGAGCAAATGAAGCTGTGCCACCTATGGCCCAAATACAGTGACCAAAAATATTCAGCTCAAAAGTAGAGGTTGAGAAAAATTTTGAAAAATAAAAGTCAGTGGATGCTTTGCCAGTATCAGCACAAGACACAATCCTGAGAATATGGTCTATTGAATGCTATTAAATCCAGGGCAATTTTGCTTGATAAGTGTACGCGAAATAACTGGAAAAAAAATCCATCCCTTTGCTCCCAGCAGCCACTTTGTCAGCTCACTAAACCACTAGAGAAAGCACTAACTCTTATTTCTGTTTTTGCCATGGCTGCTGTTTCTATCCGACAGCAGTGCTGCTCAGCAGCCAGAGCTGGTGGCCTGTCCTGGGGCAGTCACTGGCAACTTGCACTTTCCTAATGCCTGTCAGAGCACCACCAGTTGCAGTAGGTGCTCCAAAAGCTTCCACATTGGGAGAAAGCACTTCAGGGCTTCAGGGCTGATTTAGGGAACTGAAATAAATGCAGCAGGAACTCCTCTGGACCGGAAATACCTCTTAGAGGAATATAAGACAGGCATCAGTTTTAAAAGCCTCATTGCAGAAATGTAATAATTCACTAATTAACTTGGAAGATCCTTACATTGTCTCTTTATACTCAGTTTTTTAAGCTAAGCTTTCCTTTAAAACACTCCTAAGGCCTTCCTCCTAAAAACATACAATGTGAGTATTAGTAGCTGGAAATCAAGGTGAGACAGCTAAGAAAGTACTAGAAACTAATAGGAGACTAAAGATCTCCTATGATTTAGGTGAACGGTGGCCTTGATGATTTGTGGTTTTATTCCTGTAATCTCCACAGCCAACAAATGACAGCTTTCCCTCTTCAGAGGGTACTGCCCTGAAGTCAGAATGCTACTTGTATCAGACAGACAAAAAGTAATTAAATTACTAGAGAGACACAGCAATGTCCATTTCTGTAGCCAGGCCATATCCTTTGACCAAAATGCTCTGGTACTTTGAATTTACAGCTAGAGATTCAGCTGTGTATGTCTGAACCACTAGGAGAAGCAGCCAAGACTTGGAAATAGCACAGGTGCTTTTGCACAGTGTAAACACAAGGCAGCAAATGCTGCCACGTTCAAGCTTGGTTTCAGGTGGCAGCAGCCTGAAGGGCTCCGAGTTGCTCTGCATGGAAGCAGGATGCAAACCTTCTTCCCTCAACCTCTCCGTAACGGATTTTTATCTTCCACAGTTACCAAAGGATGAACTAGTTGCAGAGTGATTTAAATCAGTATTGGACCTGACTTCTACTACCAGGACAATGAAACAATTTGACGACTCCAAGAGATGTCCCTCCCCTCAGTGTCCCTATGAACAGCTTATCACAAATGGCAGTGACAGGTAAGACTCCAAGTACAGCTACTTTCAAGCAGAACAAAATCCACAATATTTTTAATGAAGACCACTACTTAATTTTTAATGAAGTACCGCTACCACTTGAAGACAATCAGAAAGTTTGTCCATGTCACTGCAACAACCTTAGTGAAAGGAAAGGCATTTAAGCATTAAGGAATTCATACTGAATTCTCACATAATTTATTTTAAATAATGTGTGGATTAATTTATGGGTTAGTACTTACTAAAGTGTCCTAGGGTGATGTTACGGTGTTTGTATCTCCAATCGTGTGTTCTGATTATGTTTGGTATTATGTCCTGTGCTTCCAGGACTGACTCTGAAAGTGAAGCTTTGTTTTGTCTTGTTATCAGCCGGCTCACCTCCCCCATGGTCTATGTTTAGGAGAGGTTTTAGCTCTGCTTGCCTGCTTGCTCGCTTCTGCCTCTTTTTCTTTCCTTCGCTTTGCCCTTGCTTTTTTCTTATTAGTTAGTTCAGCTAGGCAGTCCAACTTTTTCCCTGGACTGTTTCCTTTTCCACCCCGTCCCCTCCCTCTCCTGGATACCATCTGAACCTGTTCCAGATGGGGACCTGGGAAACCCCAAGAAACACCGGGAGTCTACATTCTGTCACCTGCAGCAGTCATTCCCCAGTGCCAGAGACTGACAACTGGGCGACCACTCGCCAGAGGGACTGAGTTTGTCATCCCTTCAGAACGGTGAAAGAGTTTTTTTGTCAGCTGGTGTTGTTTTTTTCCCTGTGCTGGGAAGTGTCTTGCTTGTTAAATAAACAGTGTTTTTTTCCCACTCTTCTCTGAGGAAATTCTTCCCGAATCCGGTGGGGGGGGGGGGGGGGGGGGGGGGGGGGGGGGGGAAGAGTCGTGGGGTTTGCTGTCAGGGGGCTCCTTCTGGAGGTTTTCCCCCAAATTTGCCCAAAACCAGGACATAAAGGAATCTGGACAGTATTTTTGTTCTATACCTTGAAATTCATCTCCAGATGCACACTCTGAGTTGCAGGTGAAGGTCACAGACACAGTGTCAGATAGTGACAGGTATCAGTTTGCAAGGCCATCTTTCTCCACTGTTACCGAGTACAGGTGTGCTCATGTCCATGTCACTCTGTTCAGTGGGGTGTAGCCAGGAGCCATCCCATCACAGAAATTTCTCTGGTAGAGAGTAGTTAGAGGCTGCTTCCTCTGTGACAGGGGTTACCCTTAAATAGATCTTTTCAACCCTTCTTACCCCAAAATTATTGTTCAATTACACATCAATGCATTTATGTAATTTGCTGGGTCCACCCAAAAGGGCAACCTTCTATTTGTGAGAGAACCATTGACACAGCCCTAGTACCACCCCTTCCCTGGGGTCAGCTGTCCTGTGACAGCCAAGGCCTGTCTGAGTGTACTGTAGGAACAGAGCTGTGCCCCTGTGATGGTGAGAGGGACTGCAAACACTGCTGAGAGCTAAATCCTCTCAGTGAGGAGCAGGACCATCCCACTTGGAACCACATTTGCTGAATTCAGCTACTCAGAACTTGGAGAACTGAGCCTGGATCATATATTGTGTGGATTTTCTGATTTGGGAGGTTTTGATTTTTTTTTAATCACAGCAAAAATGGGCTGTTAATAAAAATAAAGGGAATTTTAAAAAAGAAAAACACATGTATTGTATACACAAGTCCTTTTAATCAGGCCCCAAATTAATTTCAGAAATGTTCTGTCACATTTCACTGATACAAGATATTCTAAAAGAGCTGAAACCAAACTAGAGCACATTTCTGGCTTTATCCTAAAATACTGTGCATTTTATTTATCCAAGAAATTAGATGATCCTCTTCTACCCAAAGTTTTAGACTTCAAGCTAATACAAGCTAATCGTCTTGTTTTAGAGCCACAGTATTCCAGGGCAAGTCACAGTATTTTAAAGTTGGTTAATACAGATTATGTTAGAAATTTAAGGGAGGAAATAAAACATTTCTGTATGAAATCAAAGATAATTTTACAAGAGGATCACACACATCTCTATTATGTTACTTTTATCTTCCACCAAAAAAAAAACCCTCCTTAACAACAGCATAAAATTTGTTTTAGAAAAGCATTCATCAAATAACACTGGCACACTGTATTTGAAAAGACTTTGTTGTCTCAGTTCTGTAGCAATACTCCAATACAGGTTAAGACTTGTTCACTAAGAGATCAATGACAGGCATGTAGCAAACTTAAAAAAAAGGCAAGCCAAGTACAAATCTTCTTTTGAGATTATTTTTGTATTTTTAATCTAAATGGCAAACAGTAGGCATGAAACATCTATACAGAAAACATAAAACAACTACACCATTTTCCCCTTAATGATCTCAAGAGCTTTTGATCTGGCAACTGGAAAACAAACTTCATGCTGGTATGCTCAAGGGACAGTTTCCTGACTGAGTATGGATGTGCACAGTCATGGTACTTAACCACACACAACCCTCTAAGCCCACTTCCATCTCCCAGTGGCTGCAGCACATTAGTTAGAGGAATGCTCAGTGACACCAATCAACACTGCACAGATACAAAGGACAGTAACTCCTACTGTGTCTCAGAGTGAGCTGTAAAATAAACATTTCCCCCCTACTTTAACAGGCTAAATATTGATCTTGTATATATTTACACACAGTGTGAGGAACTACTGAGCCACTTAAAGATGTAACACATGGATCTTGTACACTAGAGCCTTGCAGAATTAATTGCTGTCTGGAACTCAAGGTACAACTGTCCTATACTGCAAAATTAGAGCAGTACAGCCTGCAAGACTGCAGCACATCAGATAAAATTTTAAAAACCTACAAACAGGGTATGGCATTACAGCAGGAATATCTGATTACTGCCCGACTGTAAATAACATGTGCATCTTCAGGGCAACTACATACCAACTATAAGCAGGATGGCAGTATAGGAAAAAATGAGGAGTTCTGCCTAATTGTTATTTCAAATATTTGAAACTTAAGCTTCAATGACTTTGCATTTTAGAGTTTTATAATGGCTTTAGATGTATTTAGAGCCTTAAATATCAAACTTTCAAGGACCTTTAACTAAGATTTTTAAAGAACAGAGAGAGAAAAAAACGTTACAGAGGTCTTGCAGTCCAGGAATCTAAGTTGATGAAAACAAACTTCAGATATAAACATATTTCCTAAGACAGTTTTTTTTTTTCACTAGTTCCCTCCTCCCCTCTCCAAAACAAAATGTTAATCATTTAGGCTGTGCAAAAATGGAGTTCAGGAATAAAGGTTCAAGCAAAGCCACCGAAGCAATGAATAGCATGCACACAGCCCAGGCATTCCTCTTTTCAGAGGTTACTCCACTCAAGAATTATCTGCCCAGCTGTGCTCCTCATGCTCATCTCTGAGACACAGTCAGATTTAGCAGACCATAGGTGACAGTCAAGGGCCTGAGAGTTTGCACAGTAAGAGGAAATGGGCATCTTACAGACTTAAATTACTAAACCTCATATTCTACAAACAAGAACTGCCAGCAGCAATGGCAAGCAAGGTTTGTGTTGCTCATAACTGCTCAGAACAGACAATTTAGTGAATTTATTTATGCAACACCTTACTCCAAGGTATCAGCTCAGAGTCAGCTAGAATAGCCTAATAAAACTATGCACAAGGCTGTGAATTCAAAACAAATTTCTACGTCCAATAACACCTTGAGATTAAGCCCAAGTATCACTAAGGTGGCAATCTTGATTGGTAGGTCTGAAGGACACAGACTTCACAACATTCCAACAAAAAGCCAGCATTCTTTGCAGTCTGAGCTTGGCCAGCCTCAGGTCCTACTAGTGGACTTCAAAAGAGTTTTCTATTGTAAGCTCCTTTTTAGTGCCCTGACAATTATGGGCCACATCCTTCAACATTTTTAACCTATTTCAGAATAGATAAAAAGATTGAAACCTGCCTTCATTCTGAAAACAGATTTATGTGGCAGCACTTTAAACAGTTCTTTTCCAAAGCCTTCATTTTCAGCATTTTTAGAACATAGATATGTATTCCAATTAAGTTTACCTTTGACAAAGAAGTTTCAGAATGACAAAACATGATATTGTTGAAGCTTTCGTCTAGAACATACAAAGAGTTTTGGGCTTTTAACAAGGCTAATTACAATCTTAGAAACACTGTCTTAGTTTAAAACACTCATGGACAAAAATTTCTGCTTTCCTTCTAGAAAGATCAAATGGTTTGTTGCCACAACAAATCTCACCTCTTTAAAAAACTTCAAATGTCTTATGTCTTATTCCATCTCCTTATAATTTTTCCCTTCAAAGGTCAAAACACAAGCATCTCCACCCAAGTCACCTATCAACTGCAAGGTTCCTGCTCTTAGAAAGGATTTTTAAATGAGGAGGAAGAAAATCAAAGATTTGTCTAATTTATTCCAAGTGGAATGACTACAGAGAAATGACTCAAGCTTAGGTAGTAAAAGTTAATGGAATGCCATCTGAAATGAAGACTGACTCAGTAACACGAGACCTTCTAGTCATTTGTTAATCTTCAATTCAAAGCCCACTAGAAGTACTTGTATAATACCAGCAAAAGAGAGGATACTGCTTAGTTTTCCTCTTGGGCAGGAGAACAAACTTTAAAAGAGAACATCAGTTTTTCTAGCATGTGATAAAATGAAAACCACTAATTGCTATGTACCCCCAAAAGACTGATTTCTTCAGCAGTTAAGAATCAGGACTACGTAAACTTGCAGTAGAATGACTTTATTCTGCTCATCTGCAAGACTTGCATAAGATTTATTTTTGGATTTCCATTTGGTATGTGGGTATTTTGCGCTTTGCATGAGGCATTTCCTCCTCCTGAACGTATTGCACCTTAACAGTATACAATCTTCTGGAGCATCCTTTCTCTGGAACAGTTAAGATCTGTAACACCAGACAGAATTTGTGGAGATTGAGAGACTGGATTTTTACAAGTGGAATTGTCTAGACCAGATGAAGAAAGAAATCGTCATATAAGGCTCCCCTAATTGTTGCTAGTGCCTTAAGGATTCATTTCTGAACTCAAAAATCTAAAAAAAGAAAAAAAAACAGTTCAAATGAGTTAAAATTTAAACATTTCTGTCTAGAAAGGCAAATATGAATAGCAAATAAAGTACAGGTACAGGTGATAGCAAATAATACAGTTTTGCCTCATTCTTTACTACTTAGGTAGTAAACAATTATATTTTTTTCTTGTCTAAGTTATTAGTAAGTCTTAGCAGTAAAGAAATGCCTCTTTCTTTCTTTCCAGGGAATACATGATATCACATGAAGTTTTTTAAACATTTCCCACTATTGTCACAGTTTTGCAGCTCAACATGTTCTGAATTGTTTCAGAAAAAAATTTCCACGTCTACCTCAAAAGGAAGACAACATCTGCTTGTTTCACTAAATGAATTAATTTCATTCATCACAAGACATATCCTACAAGCAGAATAGCAAATGCCTACAGCTAACTAAAACTAGTTTAAAAGCATGGTGGAACAAACCTATTGTAACCTTCAGTAATGCCGAAAGAATTGCCTTCTAGAAAAGTAAACCAAATCGGCTTTTTGTAGTAACACCCAAACACGATTACAAAACCCTCCGTGTGAACCATCAATCCCAGGAAAACTTTTCATAACAGGGAAAAGGTTAGTGTAGATCCTGTTCCCTTCTCTGCTTCTGCAGCTAACACTACCAGCTCAGTCGAGCACCCTGCTTGCCAACTTTCAATGCACACTCATGGCAGAAGCCAACACAATGTCTTTTCCCCTTACTCAGTGACAGAGGAGATACAATCTCATCAACTTCCTTCAAATTTGGGACTTTTGCCCAAATGTTCTGCCTTGGGGAGCTGAGCTTGCTTTACCCCTACTTTGCTTCATACTAATACCTCACAGTCACTGCAATACATTTTAGAGAAGATTTGGAGTTACTTACACAGCAAACAATTGATGTCTTATTATGCTGCTGCTAAGATACACCCACACTACAGGCTTTAAAGCTCTAGTCTTACAGCTACAGAGTAAGATCACATCAAGCTAATCTACTGATTAATCAGCTAGTACTTAATCATGTAGATTTTCCAATTTCTTCAATCAGCAGTGAGCTACACTTGCCACAAAACAGTTCAGCCATTCTTCAGCAAGGCTGCAGTGCTAGTTTAAAAGTTAAGCTAAAGCATTTCAAATATCCCAGAAATTATAGGAACAAACTTTTATTTTTAAGCAACAACACACACTATTTGAATAAAACTCACACATTTAACTCAGGTGGAGAGTACTAAACTGAACAATCATCACTAATACATTTCCATTGGAAATGTGTTAAAGTTCACAAGGGTCTTCATTACCATCTTACTGAAGTTTTCTTATGTGTTTCTAGTCTACACAACACCTGTTTCATGCAGTCATGCAAATCAAATTGTAAATGTTCAGGTAACAGGGAAGTCCATTCACTGCAAAGATTCATTTTTCACAGAAAAGCCAGGATAGGTAAGACCAATACTGCAGGGTTCTTCATAAGAGTACAAGTATGTTAGAAACCATGAACTTTCAGTTGTTCTTCCTTGACAATGCCAATCTAAAGGAGAGAAACAACATATTTTAGTAAAACTTACATATTCAGCCTATTGCAGTGATATCAAGTTACCACAATCTTACACTTTCATTAAAGAAACTGCTATGCAGTGTATACACTCAATGAAACATTTTTCTAGTTTACATAATGTTTCTGGGCCAAGCAGAAGAACTGACTGAACAAAAAGAAAATCTTATCAGACATCTGATTTATTCTGTAGCCCTAGGACTTATTCTTTCACAGTGTAACAACTCTGCATCACCATTTGCATCAGAATAAACCTCTTTCCTCTACAGTGTTTTCAGTCTCACGATTATGGTTTGCATTGAACACTTGATTTTACAAGCCCAGAGCTCAAGTTGCACTGCCAGAGAACAAGTGATATGTTGTAACAGTGCAAAGGCATTCTACAGTGCTTTGATTCTTACCAGAGGCTTACTCTCACTCTGCAAGTGTCATTTTACTTTCTGGCTGAAAATACAAAAGAACTACAGTGGCCATCTTCAGGTGGTTAATTAGCATCAGTACCACCACCTGTCACCCTACTGCTTCCAGAGAGGTTTAGATATTTATCTGCAGTTTCCTCACCTCCAAGAGGAATTGGCAAATGTTCTTCCTCTGGTCACCTTGCAGCTGGATAACTTCACCGTATTCAGGATGCTCAATCACAGTACCATTACAAGCAAATTTCTAAGAGAGAAACATCCATATTATAAGACATCTGATGTGCATCATGATTTTGCTTAGTCAGTCTTTTCAGAAGAACTTCGTCTCAGAAGCTGCTTACTATTTTGATGCCAAGCCAGGCAAAGGTTAATCAATTTTACTGGCTCTGAGAGCAAATGGAATATATCTGCCAATACGTACATACAAACTAAACTGCTGATGGTAAATTCAGACAGGATTAGCTACTGTGCAGAAGGAAATGGTCAACAGTCATTGCAAGAATGAAAAACAAAGTCATAAGATACAGCCTGTCAACTCCACACTATTTTAAAATAAGTGTTTTTATCCTGGCAAAACTAAAAGCCTCTATTTTGAGCAACAACCCAGCTGTAACAGAGGCAGGAATAAAAACCAGCTCTACTTTAAACTGATTTTATTCTTCACATCAAAAAAGTCATATATCTGTAAAATTTTGAAGAAACATTCTGAATATATTTTATTTACTTCTTTTTAAGATAGAAATGTTGACGTTTTTAGCAAAATCAGTGTCACTGGACACTGATAGGTGTTTTGAGAAAGGGAAAGGACTCAAATATGAAAGTGGTGTGCACTGGAAGTGAAGTGACATAAATATTTTGTTACTTAGCATTAAAAGCTATCTTACTCCTTTATATATAATCATTATCAAATCAAATCAGCAACTTTACCTTTTTGAAAGCTTTCACAAGTTTCTTCTTGTCATAATCATCTGCAATGCCCTGAACAGTTGTTAGTGTCTTTCTTCCGTTCCGTTGCTGGATCCTTATATGAATGTAATCCTCAGTCCCCGCCGGGAGTAAGTCGTCGCCCTTTGTTGCATCAGCAAAGGGGTCTGCAGGAGGAAAAAGATTCATGTAATTACCACAAAGGAAAACACCCATGTTCAAAATTAAGGAGGAAGATTCTCACTTCTCAAAAAATTACTATATTCAGGGTATTATCTTGATGTTTGATCCCTGTTTAAAAACTCACTGTTGAAACCAAAGTGCTCTTTCTACAGCTGCATTAAGTCATTACACTACACACTCAGAACAGCCTTCTCAACCACCATGCACTGCGCTGTTTCTTCCATGCCTTCCCAGGTACGAATGATTTCCTGCTACAGTATCAGTTTACTTCACTGTTTCTTGCAAACTGTAAATCCTGAACCTGAAAACACGGTTCTGACTGAACATCAAATGCACACAAGTTTTAGACAGCTGCATACATTTAAAGTGAACTAAAGCAACTGTATCTCTTATCAGATCAGCTGATAAGAACAGATAAACAGAAAAGCTCTAGAACAGACACTTCCTTACAGGTCCAGAACAGAAGTCTTAGACTGTGGTAACTACCACACTACCAGCGTGTTAAGGCATGGATATAACTCTTGGCTACAAACAGAAATACAAGAGAGATACACTCAGAAGCCACTTGTAAACCGGAACTCCTCTACCAGCTTTAGTCAAGAAATGTAACAAAATGAATTTAGGCTTAGACTAAAGAAAGGCCAGTTCTCAAACTCTTCCAAGCTTAGCATTTATCTAGCACAGACAAAACAGAAAAGCATTTAGAAAGAAGGGGGCTGCTGGGTTAACACTTCTTATACTCTATACTTCTGCGTATAGAAAAACAAATTAAAAAACCAAGAACATATTAACACTCAAAACCAAAACATATTCACACTCAATCAATAAATTTTACAACTCTACAAATCTTCTGATCAGTAGCTCCAAATAAATCTTGAAGCATGAAGTAATTTATTACTTATTAAGAACAATCACAAGCAATTTTTATACTAATCAGAACGATATTGAAGAGCCCATGGAAGTTCAATAGCCATGCAAGCTACAAGTTCCCAAACTTACACTCAAAACTCAGACCTAAAAACATCGGTAAAGTTTTGCCATCCACTAGAAACAAATGCCTCAAATTAGTAAAAATTCAGCAGAAACATAAAAAGAAGTAGTTCAGCTGCAGACTGACAGATCCTTATAAAAATAAGAATGACATGAACATTAAAGGCGCTGAAAGCATAATGAAGATTCAAGCACCACAGGAAACAAGTACAGCATAGGGAATCTTGACTAGCTCAACTTCTACTATGAAATTTGTTAAACCATGTTGAATTTTACCGTCTCCAACAGCTTGTGGCTCAAACACTAATAGAAAATCTTAGTCAAAGAAAAAGTGAAAGAAAAAGAGGACCTGAGGATCACTTAGCAAAGTTTAGGATTCTAGGTTGCAGATAGGCCAAGACAGCTCGGCAGAGTTTAGGGCTCTAGGCTGGAAATAAGCCAGCACTGTAGGTGTCAACACTGCATCCCTTCAAACAAATCCTCTGGGCGGCACCTTCTTTAAGCACAGGGTGGGCTCCCAAATCATGACTGAACATAACCTTCTCACATGGCTTATATGTGCAGAAGATCAGAGTCAAAACTGTGACGAAAAGCCTGATACTATTGTATAAAGTGCTAACTCGCTCACTTCTGCTGCTTATAGATAAGGCAGGAGGAGAACGCTGGCCCGGCATGGTTAAACTTCCCTGCTGATAGAGAAATCATCTGCCACCTTCGCAGCTCACTCTATAGAAATAATAACCTTTGCAGGGCTTGTATAGTGTTTAGGGACATTGCTGAGCATAAGATGCGGCATCAAACCAACTGTAACTGACGAAATTATTTCCTCAGCAGCGGATACCAGCCCTTGATACGGGGTGTCAGAGCTGAGACCATGTCAGCACCTCCTACGGGAGCAGCGAGGGGCTGAGCCTCCCACCCGAGCTCTCCTCGCCGAGCACAATGAGCACGTCCCAAGGCCAGCGACGCGGCAGGACAAGGACGAGCGGCAGGTGCTGCCGCACGGAGCACCGCGGCGGCGACACCGTTCAATGTCACCGCGGGGGCGGGGGGTCCGCTGCCCTCGGGAAGGCGGAGGCAGGACGGCGGGGACAGGGGCAGGATGAGGGGGCCGGGGGCGACGCTGGGTTTGCCGAGAGGGTGACTGCGGGGGTGGCGGAGTGCCGGCGGCTCTTACCGAAGGATTGGAGGTTCTGGATCGAGGACATGCGACTCTGCGGCGAGAGGCTGGAGCTGCGGGAAGCGAGTCCGCTCGGGTCACGTCTCCGGCTCCGCAGTGCCAGGCGGGGGCGGGGAGCGAGGGGAGGGGTAACAAAGCAGAGGGACGCAGAGAGGGAACCTGAGACGGAAGGCAAGAGCGAAAAGAAGGAGTAAGAAGAGGAGGAAGCGCGAAGGGAAATATAACGTGGAGGGAGATAGGCAGGGACCCCCCGCCCCTTGCCCGCACCGCCCCACGGCACCGCCAACGGGCGCCGCCCGCCTCGTTCCGCACAAAATGGCGTCCCGCACGTGACGGCCCCTCAGCCGCCCGCTGCTCAGAGCCACGGAATCTGTGAGTTTGGAAAACAGCGCTGAGGTCACCGAGTCCAGCTCGTGACGGAGCATCAGCATGTCAACCAGACCACGTCCAGATGGTGACACCACCACCTCCCTGGGCAGCCTATTCCACACCATTTCTGTGAAGAAATTCCTCCTGATGTCTCCCCTGCTGCAGGCTGAGGCTACATCCTCTTGCCCTGTTGTTGGTTCCCTGGGAGAAGAGACTGACCCCCACCTGGCTACACCCTCCTTTCAGGCAGCTGTAGAGAGCGATAAGGTCACCCCTGAGCCTTCTCCTTCCGGGCTAAACATCCCCAGCTCCCTCAGCTGCTCCTCATATGACTTGTGTGCAAAACCTTTCACCAGCTTCATTGCCCTTCTCTGGACCTGCTCCAGCTCCCCAACGTCCTTTCCTGTAACAATGTTCTCAGTGGATCCAACAGCAGTGCTGGCGTATTGCTGGAGCCCCTTGTTCTGCCTGCTGCTGGCCCTCAGGGACCCCTATGCCCCAGAAAGGGTGACCCCCATGGAGGCACTTCCATATTCACATTCCTTTGGCTTGGGTACTTTTCCAGCTGATCTGAAATTGGGAGAATGCTTCCCAATTCCCCATTAAAATACGTTGGCCCCACTCCCTCAGGCCCCCCTCACTGGACAAAATGCTGCTTTCAATGCTGAATGTGGTGAGGGAGGAAGTCAGCACCCCACAAACTGCCCGTGTTTCCACTTTGGGCATGACTTGGAGACACAAGAAGTTCCACCTCAGCATGAGAAAGGACTTCTTTACATTGAGGGAGGCAGAGCACTGGAACAGGGTGCTGAGGGTGGTCATGGAGTTTCCACCTCTGGAGACATTCCAAACCCACATGGACATGTTCCTGTGTCACCTGCTTGAGGTCAGAATGCCTTGGCAGGGGTCTTGGACCAGGTGATCTTGAGAGTCCTGTACTTAACTATCCAGTATGATAACCTTAACTATTCTGTGATTCTGAGAACTTTGCACCCTTTCAGGTGGGTGCAGCTGCTGTTTCCCAGTCCCTAGGGGCCACCATGGATGGCTGGCATGTGGCCTTACAGGGCTTCTATGTGACAGCTGCTCACTGTCCATCCCTGTTTTGGGAGGATATCAGCAGTGTAGGGGCTGTAATGGGAAAAGTTTGCCTTTAAAATGGTGTGCAGGTGTTGCAAAGCTTGCTGGTTCTTATGAGGTGATAAATGGCTTTGCAGATGTACAATAAGCTAATTTCACTGGCAGAAGTGACAAAACCTATATTTCTCTTTTATTTTTTCCCTTTTGGGCTTTTATGCTAAACTTCAGTCCTCTTATGTCAATGGGATATTTCTTTTATGTGATCCAAGGTCTGGATCAGCACTACAGTAGTTTTATGAATGCCAGTGTGCAATGATCTAAGAAAGTTTCTAGCCCTGGCACTTTGCAAGGAAGCTTTTTTTTTTCTCCCATGTGGAAAGCAAGGCCATTGGCCATGGCACAAAACCTCTGCTTACCCTTTGCTACCATCATTCATTAAACCTTTCACTGCACTATGGGCTGGTCAGGGTAGTTGTTTAACTCACCCCCAAGCAGCTGCAAAAGACACTATTGAGGCAGTAATGTGGCAAGAGCTTGAGACCACAATTTGGACAATGTCTGTGGGTTAAGAATGCAGAGCTAAACACTGAGAAACCTTCTGGGAAGGCTGAGGAAGCTCAGGAACCCATCTTCTGGGACATGACCCCAGGATATCAATAGCACCTCTCTCAGAAAACTTATACTACTACTAATGTGAAGAATTTTTTGCTTTGATATATTTTTGCTAATCCTGTGTCTCTCTGCAAGATTTTGTTGTATCTTTCGCTCTCCCATCATCATCCCATGAAACTTTTCCCAATGGCAAAGCAGGTCCATCACCCTTTTTTCCTCGCAGCCACTGCTTTTTGTTACCTTGGCTGCGCCAGTACCAGTGTCAGTGGGGCACTGGGATGAGCCAGAGCAGCAAACTGATTTGAGTTAAAACATAAACTCAAAGGTTAAAGCCTCAGATCTACTCCACTTGCATAATCCTGCAACAGTTGTGCTGAGACAACCGAGGAGGACAAGGCTGGCCATGGATGAGAGGAACAGTGGATCTTCAGACACAAACTCCAAGTATGAGTCTGCAGGTTTAGCTGAGTATACCGGTCATTGTGTCAGTTCTTCTGCTTACTCTGAATCTTCCTGCATTTAAAATAGTTTTACGCTTCTAATTCTCACTGCATAGTTAATCCAGTGGGCATCAGTGGAATTTACCCTACAGTTTACAGACCGATGAGATTGGATGTCTGGGAAGCAACAAAGCTCCTTTTATAAACTAAGAAGATGTGACTTTATTTTCCTTAAATTGAAACAACAATGAATAGTTCTGGCAACTGCAGAGGGAATGGAAACAACCCCCAACTGCACAGCTTGGCATGCACTGTGCAGCAATTAAAAGAAAGGTGGTGGCTAGCACCCTCATTGTTCTCTTGGCAGCCTTCCACAATGTCCATGTGAATTCGCAGGGCCTCTGTGGGGCTGTGTCAATGAAAAGAGCTCTCCGTTTGCTGTCCTACTCAGAGAGAGCTGCAGGTCTCCATGTCACATCTGTCACTAAGGTCCGACACAAATGCTGTCTGTGCCAGCACATTGCACCAAACTTTGGTGTCTGTGCGCAGAGGCAGGCAGCATCCTGCCAGAGACGTGTGGATCGTGCTATTGCCCCTCAGGAGGACAGTTGTCCTGAGGTCCTTTGACCTGACTGAGTCCTTCCCGTTGCTCTTGAGCAGTCCCTTGTGGCAATAGACCTGTGAAAGTCTGGTTGTGAGGGGTTTACAGTCACACCAGACTGAAGAAAGGTGGGCAAAGCAGACATGGACCTGAAGCAACCAAAGAAGTAGGAGCAATTAAAATAGTTTAAAACCTAAGTGAAAGTAAGAGGTGTTGTTGCTTAACTGTTAAATTTCAGATTTCAAAACCTGTTCAATTTCAGATCATCCTAGAGCTGAGGCTGGAGTAAATCTCGTTCACTAATATTAGACGTCAGGGTTTAAGCAATATTTTGGGAATGAGACTCTTGTCTTTCCATGACTAATGTATAACTTGCCAACTACAGTGCCAGAAAAGAACATCATCTCTAACTTGATTGCAGCTTCAAGCTATTTAAATGTAATAGTTGCAAGACCTGGTTATGAATAGCAATTAGAGATCCCCTTGCTTGCCTTTTATTGTATTTCAGTTCATCTGTCAAGCTGTATGTGAATCATTACAGGTTATTTATGACTGGATAAGCCTCAGGGATTAAAACCAGGGGCTCACTGGCATATAGATGATAAATATGACATACTGAAGCCATAAAGCACAATTTTGTAAAAAATGTCACCCTAGTGCAGAACCTCACCTTCACTGGGTATTCTCAGAAGCATTTGAGATGTGCTTGAGCAGCAATGGGTAACCCAGACCAGTGAGAAACACTTTGTTCTTCCAGAGAATTGCTGCGTTGGAAAAATGGGCTGGATATGGTACAAGAAAGCCTTGCATTGGGCAAAAAAACCTGAGCCATGCAGTAGGGCTAAACTTGTGCTTTAGTTTAGGACTCTTGTATGACATGTGTCTTTGGTTGTGTGCATGTAAAAGGCCACCCTTGTCTGCACCTGCCCCTCTGTAATAACCAGAATGAACAACATTGTTTTTCACTTCCTATGGACAAAGTTATAATATATACTACTATTATTTTCAAGTGCAGCACACCAATATTTTTAGTTTTATATCTTAGGAGCTTTTACAAAGCCAAAGTTTAATTTAATTAGGGCTTTCTCCAATAGGCAGATCTCCCGTACCTGGCCCTGCAGCCTGCCTTACCAGAAAATCTCAGACTAGCATGCTGAACTGTCCTCTGCAACTGCCTGGAGACCCAACTACTGCTTGAAGCACATGGTGTTCAAAGAGCACTGTAATTTGCCTGACAAAGCGAATGTGCAAGAAACATGCAAACGGGATGTAGCAGCACTAATTTCCATCCTACATACCAGCAGTGCAACTACTCTATACACAAATACTGCTCCATTCCAGCACCAGAAGCTGACATATGCTGGCCTAATATTGGCATTCTGAAAATAATGTCAAAGTGCTGGATCCCTGAGAGATATGCAAAAACATTTCCAACCTTGGTTCTTTTTCTTGAACTTTGATCTTCCCTGCTCTCACTATGTTACTCTACCTACCATATCCAGCTCAATTTGGAATCTGCACGTCCCAAATCTCTGTGAAGAAGGCTGCCCAGTAGCTTTTTTTATCAGGGAAGAAGAATAACAAAAGTGCCAGAAGAAATTCTCCCTTTTCCATCAACAGAATAGTTTTGAAGGTGCTGTAACTATGCCAAGCCTGACTTGTATTTTTCCATCTAAGCTCCAACTCTGATGCAAAAGCCTCCACAGTGTGCTAAGGAAGGGCTTGTGGAGAGTGGCTGAAGTCCTGAGCTGTAGCCTATGCTTGAGTTGCCCAGCTGCTAACAAGTTGTCCCAATAAGCATGTGCTACCTGGGAGACTGGGCTAACTGGAAATTATGCTGATGATAAACACCTGGATATCCAGCCTAACTCGAGAAAGACAGGTTTATGTTTAGTTTGGCTGACCTTGTGTACATGGTCAGATTTCAAGATACACATGCTTTCATTTGAAACGTGAGGGGTTCATTCCCTGCTCAATAATGATTTTGCAAACAAGATAATAATTTCGGCATTAACCACTAGATGGTCCTCTTTCTCAAATTAAAAAAAACAAACAAAACAGTAGCTCCAAAAATAAAGCTTGTCCTGGCTTTTATCTAAACCTGAATGTTAGTAGAGAACAGTTTCT